TTCCTGGCCACTGCCTTCAGACCAAGGAGCACCCCTTCTCCAGGTCCCAGGGCTCAGCTTCATCTGTGCTGCTGCGTGCCTGGCAGAGCAGGGTTGGGACTAGAGCCCACAGCAGTAGGAGCTGAATTGGAGCCTCTTCCCCTCGGGGTCCTCCCCAGACACAGGGGAGCCCCGAGAGCACAGGGCTTTAAATCCTTCAGGCACTGACTCTGGCTTGGATGCCTGGTGAACAAGAATAAGTGCCTTCGGGTGGTCCAGGAAGACAGCTGCAGAAGCCACACTAACAGTTTAACCCTGGCAGTGCTACCCCTCACCCCAACAAGCCAGGCATTCTCCTAGGGAATGCAAACTCATCCGCGTGTCAGCCTGAGCCAGACCCAAGGAAGAAGCCGACTCTGCTGCCTGCCCTGGACTGATCTTAAAGGGCCAACTTGGGGAATCCCTGCTTCTAGGGTATCTGTGGCCCTAGCCAAGGCTGGGAGGGAAGCCCGCAACCTGTCCCCTGCCCCCCCAGGACCAGACCCAGTCCCTGGCTCTGGCAACACTCTCCCCTCCGGTTGGGTAAGTAATGCTTTAGGTCTGGGATCAGCCCTCATGCAGCCGTCCTTCTGTCTGCCCCTTTAGACTCCAAGCAGAACGGTGATGCCAGCGCGGTGCTGTCAGACGAGGAGGGAGCCGGCCTCACCCAGCCCCTGGCCCCCGCCCGCACCCCGGAGGAGCGCCGGGCCCTGCGACGCTCTGGCACCCGAGACAGAAACAAGAAGGCAGCTGCCTGTTTCCTGCTCAGCGCTGGGGACTTTGCCTGCGCCGATGGTAGTGTCCGGAAAGGTATGGCTCCCCAGGCTGGGCAGGGGGGTATCCCCCACGGAGCTGAGTCTCCCCAGTGTCCCCCATGGAGCTTGAGGTCCCCTCCTCCTCTGAGGCCATGGACACCATCTCCTCTGCCTCGGATGTGCCCTCGCTTTTAGGATGGGTCCCCTGATATTCCAGTTCCCGGATTAGAAAGGCCTGCAGCATCCCCAGAAGATACAGAGCCCCCTGGGTGCCCATGGGGAAGACAAGTGCTAGAGGGTGAGGGGACCCCAGATCAAGGCTCCTGCTGCCCCCTCCATTTTATTGCCTCTCTTCCTCTGGTTCCTGCAGTGGTCTTCAGGCCTGGCTCCTCATGGCCATTGCCAGCCTTCCCCTAGGCCTCCCTTAAACACAGCTCAGGCTTCCCCAAGTAAGTAGTCCTGGGAGATGCCAACACACTCAGGAGTCAGGGTAAGAATGGGGTGCTGGTATGAGGTCTTCAGAGAGCCTGGCTCAGGCCCCACCTCCTCCGTCCTGCACTGGGGGTTCTGCAGCCCAAATCTGCAAGCCCCTGAGATGGGACTGTTCACTCTGGGTAGAGCCAGAAGGGTGACCAGGGGGAGGGGTGGACAGGGAGAGTGGGTCCCCTCTGAAGTGTGTTCTGAAGGCTTTGGCGAGTTCAAGGGAAGGCTGAAATGCCATCAGCAGACCCCATGCAGAAGCTGGTCAGTGGAGCTAGGGATTCCTGGCCTGAAAAAGTGGGACTGAAATGATTAGGGATGGTTGAGAGCCAGTCGTGGCTGAGAGCCAGGGCTCTCAAGGCCAAGTGTCCCTTCTGTCCAGCTCCTCGTCACTTTTTTGCTTTTCCTGCCTTGTCCCTGTGACCTGATCTCTCTAAACAGCCTGCCTAGTTTCAGGATAAACCCCAACTCTCCCTGGAAAAAGCCCTTCCCTGGGTTTGCAGGCCACTTCTTAACTAACCTTCTTTCAGCCCAACACCCCGCCGCCGCTTCCCACCATCCCCAAACCCCAGACCAAAGGCAGGTTGAGTGAGGCAGGGGCAGTGGCTGCTGTAGGAATAGCCTGTGATGTCTCTGTCCCCCCAGGGATGTCCCTTGGCCTGCCCAGCCCAGGCAGCCTCCAGGGATACCTTCCCAGGCCCTTTCCCTGTGGCTTGCTCAGCGCCACTGTCCCCAAGGGATCCCCAGGGCACCCTGACCCTAACCAAGACCTGAGAGGTATGCGTCCTGCTTTGCTGGGCACGTGTCCTATTGGGTGGCGGAAGCAGGAGCAGCAACCTGGAACCTGGAGGTGGCCCGGAGGCTCAGCTAAAGGGCTGCAGATGGACGGTGTTCAGACTTCTGACACCCTCTTCTGTGTTCTTCTGGTCACCCCTGGCCTCTGTGTATAGCCCACTCCTTGGGCTCTGGATGTGCCTCTCCCTCCTGCCCCCACCCCAAACGTGCTGTGGCTTCCACTGTGTCCTAGTTCAGACCCAGAGTCTTGCTCTGGCTGGAGCATGCTAAGTGGATGGTGTAGAAGGTGGGGTGAAGGGGACCCCACCCCCTATGTAGGACTTGAGCAAACAGAACTGAGTCCTGATCACCCCTGTTTGCATCCAGAGTGGTGAGGGGCTCAGTGGAAGGAGTGGTGCGCAGGAGGCTGTGAGATTGCAAGTCAGAGCAGGGACCGTGAGGGCCTGGGGAACAGGTCCCAACTGAGGAGGAGACTGTGTTGTGTGCACGCATGGGGCTGGGGAGCCTGCGTCCCACCACGTCGTATCTCTCTGGCTGCTTGTGGGGCCCGGCTGCTCTATTTTCAAGATGCCTCCACACTGCTTCTTGGCAACAAGCATGTAGCTCAGCCAATTAGAGTGACCTTCGAGAGGGAACAGGTGGGTTGCTGGGAAACAGGCCCTGCTAAGCAAGCGTGGCAGTTAGCATCGCCAAACTCCCAGTGCGCGCTCGGCAACTTTCCCTGTGCCAGACCACGCCACACGTCTCTGCACTTGGGCTACATTCAGGCCCAGGAGTGAGTGGGCCCAGGCCTCCTCCGGCCACCAGCACAGACCCCATGTGACCCTGTAGGTGCATGTGACTGAAGGTAAACTCCCTGGAAGGAAAGTGGTGAATGCTAATTAGGGCGTCTTAGGGTTGAGCAAGGAGGGTACTGAGGGCTGTAGGGGCTTCATGCAACTGGAGGGAAACCTACCTGGAGACAATGATAGGGCAAAGGTCAGCTGAGTGTGGGGCCCAGGGGTCCATCCAGAGACCAGAGAAACTCAGGGAGCCTTTCCCAGGGGGACCAGACCCTTCCACCCAGTCCCGGGGCTGCCCGCCCTGCAGGGTCCCTGGAACGTGGATCCCATGGAGCATCTCAGGCAAGGAGCTGTGCCCCTCTGACCCACGTGCCTTTTCTTCACCAAGGCTGTGAAAAGTCCCGGAGTCTAAACAGCACAGCAGGAGCTGCTGGAACCAGTCTGGGGCTATCTCAACTGGCATCGCGGTACAGCTCACCCTACCCTCCAAGAAAGCTCCTGCTCGCCCACCCCTTCCACCCCCTCACCAGCCCACCCCCTGGACACTCAGCCCCATAGCTGCACCCTTGGCTCACCCCGCCCCTGGGCGCACGTGCCCAAACAGGCATACTCACATGCCTCCAGCCCTCGTTCCTCCTGGGGCCTGCGGAAGCCAGGCAGGATGCAGGAGAATTCAGGCCCCCAGGCCTCTCCTCCACAGCACCCAGCTCCCCAAAATGTCCAGCTCTGGGACCTGAGAGTGAGGGAGAGATTACTTGCAGGCCTTCTATCCCGCTCGCTCCCGTCCTGAGCTGAGGGTGCTGTCACCCCCAGGACTGTGTCTCTGGGCCCTGCCTCCCCCGCAGGGTCCCACCTAGATCACAGCAAATGCATTTCCATCCCTCGGGGCCTTCAACCAGTAACCAAACAGCCTGCAACTGAACATCTCTGTCTGTCTGTCTGTCAATCCCACACCCAGACCGGCCAGGAATAAGGCTGTCCCCTGGGGCATCTCTGCCAGTGTGTGAGGGCTTGACTCCTTGGGGGAGCGGTGCCACCTGATGTTCCCCAGCCCTGCCATGGGGTGCAGGTGGGCGTTCCTAGAGTCAGAGCCCCAGGATTGGCTGCGGAGGCGCGGGGATGTCCTCCTCTCAGGGTGGCGCCCAGCAGCGGAGCCCAGCATCCCATCTGCACCCCGAGCTGCAGTATCACTTGCCACGCTGCTTCCCCGACAATTCTTCCTCTGCTGCTCCCTCCAGCTCCCAGCCCTGCCTCTGAGTCACCTGCCGCTCCCACCCAGCCTCTGTGCTCTGTATCGCTGCCAGAACCGGAGACTCATCTAATTTCTATAATTAAGTGTATTCATTTACCTAACGAGCCAGGGAGCACAACAGGTCTGTGAGTCATTGAGTGAGCAGGGGTGCACCCTGGGCAGGGGCAGTTGAGGGGAAGTGTAGGGACTGAAGCCATCCTGCCCCCACCAGCTCCCTGACGGGCAGCCTGCCGCGCCCAGGGTGGGCCGAGCCGCAGGGGGCCCCTCCCCAGCGCACCAGCCAGGCTCTCCAGGACCTCCTCAGCCCAGGAACTCGGAACACCTCAGCCAAGACGTTGCCTGTTTCACCTGATGGGAATTAGACCTGACAGCGGAGCCATGTGCCTGGCAATTTTTAGAGTCAGATTATGCAACTTTGTCGAGAGAATGACTAAGGAAGGTCCATGTCTGCTCCTTCCAGAGTGGGCAGGGATAGGTACCGCCAGACAGCATTTTGGGACTTGGCAGGAGGCTGGGGACTCTGGAGGCCACCCCAAAAGGTGAGCTGGGCGGAAAGGTCAGACCGTTTCATGGGGTTGCAGGGGTGATGAAGAGCCTGTTCCAGGAACATCCCCATTTCAGTACCTTCTTCAGCCTTGGGCAGACACAGGAGTATCCCTTCCAGAAAAGTCTGTTCAAGGTGGGTCCTCGGCTCCCCCAGCCCTGCTGTGGTCTGTGGGGCCTGCCTCCTGCTTGCTCTCAGAGTGACGAGAAGAGCTGAGAAGATACAGGGGCATCCATGCCACTGCCCCTCAGAAGGGGACACGGACAGGGAAGCCCTGGAGAGCAGGATGGGAGCAGGGCACCTTCTACCCTTCCAGCCCAGTCTGAGAACCCAGCTTCTCTTCTGGGAGGATGGGTTCGGTCCTGCTCCTGCCGGGCTCCCTGGTGCAGGGGTTCTGGCTCTGACACGGACACAACGAGCTGGGTGTCCGGTGTAGCATGGGCACCACAGCTATTTTCTCCTCTCACTTGCCTTTCTGGTTCAGGGAACCGAGGCGGCTATTTCTGTGGCAGCCCTCAAGTTGTCAGGAGCCCAAGTTTCCACGGCACCCACCGCCTCCTTCCCTCTCTTCCCTCCCACAGGGACGGGCATGCTCACGGCACCCCCATGGTGGGCACAGATGTCTCTGGGCGACATGATGCAGGAGTGCCAGGCTGGAGCCCCTAGTGCCTTGGGAGGTGGGCTCCCACACACCCCTCCTGTCTCTCTGGCTTCTGTAGGGTTGACACAGGATTGAGTGTGAGCTGACGGGAGAGCTGAGTAGGCTGCCTGCCCCAGCTCCTCTCAGGGCCCTCGGAAAGGGCAAAGTGAGCCCTGGAGTTTACAGAACCCCAGTGTACACCAGGCCCTGCCTGGGGAGGTGGCTGCCTCAGGAGAGGGCTCTCCCTCCCACCCACAATCTGAGAGTGCAGTTTGCTTTACCTTGGATCTGGACCTGGACCTCCACCCATTACTTTGGCTTCTAACAGCCTTTCCCCTGCAGCTGGGGCCCAGCCGCTACCCGTAGAGCAGGGAAGCAGCCTGGTTAGGAGTCGTTACCCCTCCAGTTTGTACCAGGGCTGCTGACAACCCTAGAGGCCACTTCTCAGCCCCCAGGGCTTCTGAGAGGGGTGGCTGGGAGCTGGAGCCAGAGGGGAAAGTACCTGTTCAGCCCAGAGCCCAGACTGCATGGGAGTCAGAGGGGAGGCTGCATAACAGCTCTGGCTGCCCTTTCACAGAGCTTCCTGGAAGACGAGGGCCTCCTCTGCCCTGGCCAGAGAGCATCGCCTTCTCTGGCATAATGCCTGCCCCCACAGCAGCCTCCTGCCTGCCCTACCTGTGCCCCAGTTGAGAAGGTAGGGGGAGGGAAGGCCCAGGCCACTGCCGTCCCAGGCTGAGGAGGAGATGCCGAGAAGGGCTCGCTGAGGGGTTGGGTTTCCTGCTGTCTCTCCTGAGATGGGCACAGTCATCCTTCCTGACCTTCCCCTTCAGCATTCACCCTCCAGCTGCTGGGACACTGTTCCTGCCAGACTGAGGAAGGGGACTGGGCATGACACGGCAGCACACTCAGGAGCCTTCCCCACCAGCTCCCTGGGACAATGGACTAGCCCCAGGTGGTAATGGCAGATGGACCTATGTCAGGGGGGAGCACAGGCTGGGCAGGCAGCAGCCCAGGTGTTGGCCTGTGGGCTGTGAGCCACCACCCTGCCAGGAACCTCTCCCACTGCCTCCATGCCAGGCTGCAGAGCTGTGGTCCCTTTTCCCACCGCACTGCAGCTTTGAGGACCTGAGGTCTCCTGGTTCCTGGAGCTCATTACCTAACAGGCATGGAGATAAGCTGTAACATCACCTATGGGTCACCGTGGCCCAGTGCTGGGTTGGCAGAGGGGTGATGAAGGGCTCACCCCCTTTCCTTCCTGTCCCCACTCTTCCTGGACCCTTAGCTCTGGGCCCCGCTCCAGCTCCGCTCCTGGCCTACTCCTCAACCTACCGCCTATAGGTCAGCAGCTGCCTTCCTTCTAACATCTCATTCTTTGTTTCTCCCTTTCTTTTGCTGAACTCCTTACCCACCACCTCCCCCAAGAAGGCAATGTTGAGCCGAACGTGTGTGTCCAAGTGTCTCACACCTGTGCTCTTTAAACACAGAGACCTGCCAAGATGCCCTCTCGTCCAACTATGCCCAGGCTGAAGTCCTCACCCTCTCTTAAAGCGGCACCAACGTGAGAGAGACAGGCAGACAGACAGAAAGCCAGAGGCTTAGGGCAACTCTGGAACCCAGGCAAGAATCTTTCGCTGGGAAAGGCTCAGATAACCTTGATTGCACAGGACTGATGGGAACCCTCCCACGTGACCCTCGGGGCCCAGAGCCATTGGGTCTGATGTTCTTGTTCTGTTGTACATTGAAGAGATATATATGCACATATAGTGTCTATATTCATACATACTATACTACTGTGTGTAGTGCATGTGCTCTTGGTGGTCTGTCTTCTTCGTTAGGCTGTGTCTCCCCAGGCCCTCGCCCCACCCCCACCCTCACTCCCTTCCCCTTCACTGATTCCTTGTTTCTGCTGAATATGTGTGTGTGAATATCCCAGGAAAAGTGTACCTGGGAACTGGCAGTCCAGCTGGGTGGTCCCTGGCTAGACTCTCCCTCTTGGGAGTGTTTCCCCTGTGGGCCAGAGGCCTGTGGAAGGCCAGGTGCCCCCTGGGGTCACTGCTCCACTAGCCTCAGCCCATCCCAGATTGGGGCTCTACCTCCCACCCCACGCCCCAGTTGTTGGGGGACTTCCCGGGGCTCCTCTGCACCTTCTTCCACTCCTCTCTCCACCTTCCCTGTGTCCTTGACTGAGGGGGTGTTTTGTCTTTTTTTATTTCTGGTTTTTTGTTCTGTCGCCTTCGTCCGTTTGCTTCCAAAGATGCTGCTGGGCGGACGGGCAGGGAAGGGGTCTGTCTGCCCATCTGGCTCAGGGGTCCGAGAAGGGAATGCTGCGGGCGAGCGGAGACCAGTGGCAATACAGTCCTTCCTGGCTGGTGGCCAGAGTATGCGTGCAATAGCCGAGGCCAGGTCCCCCCTTCGACCTTGGCCTCTGCCCCTGCATCGGCCCTCCCTCCCCACTCCCAGCCCGCCCTGCCCCTCCCTGGTGTTGGTCGTCCTTTTCTAAAGCTGTCCCCTCGTGTGTCTGAGGCATGCCTAGGCTGGGCCCTGCCGCCCTGTCTGCATGCCTTTGACTGTCATGCTGTGCTCAACCCCAATAAAGACATCTGGAGCGTCCTGCCATGCTCGCTGTGTGAGTGACTGCCTCCGCCTCTCCTTTCTGTATCTGTGGGGACTTCCCCGGGCTTCCCCCCATCAACACCTGAGAAATGCAACGCACTCCTAACCCGCCCCCACCGGGAATCACCAGTGCAGCCCAACCCCTGCATTTAGAGCCAGACATGAATGCTCGAGATGAAAAGTGATCTGGCCAAGGTCACGCCAAGAGGACTAACCTGGGACCCCGGGCTTCTGGGCAGTGATCTCCACTGCTGCCACCGCCCCACCCCCACCCCCAGCAGTAACATGGAAGAAGAGACTGTTGTTTGTTTAGGGGGTTCCACTGTATTCCTGCTTGTTTTGCAGGGGGCATCTTCTCTTCCCTGAAATTGCACCAGTTCTATGTTGGCCAAGGCCCTGGGGATGCCGAAGTCGTTGTGATGACTGGATGGATGGCTGATGAACTGAGGCTGACAAGGGGCTGGGAGCACAACTGGGACCACTTAGGGCTGGGGAGTGAATGGTCCTGGGCCTAGATAGGATTGGCGGGGGGGGGTGAGTGATGCTCAGACGTCATCCCTCGCTGTTGTCCCTCTCACACTCACACAGGGGAATGAGCAGGGCTGGCTTCAGGGCCATGCCACCTGTGCAGTCACTCAGAGGGGCCCACAACCGACTCAATGCTCAGCTGTTGCCGCTTCGAAGTTACTGATAATCATTGAAGAAGGGCCCTGTGTTTTCATTTTGCATTGGGCTCCGCGGATTATGTAGCCAGGCCCGGGCACATGTGTGCTCTCTTTACTCTTTATCCCAGGTGTAAACTTAGCGTCAAAGGGGCCTCAGTTCAGGGTCTTGATCTGCCACTTGCTAGCTGGGTAACTTGGGGCAACTTGCCAAACCTCAGTTTCCCTGCCTGTAGGATGGGGATAATGATAGCCCCTGTCTCAGAGCCAGTGAGTGTAAAGGCCTGGCCCAGTGTCATCTGTCTGCATGTGGCGTGCAGTAGATGCACAGTAAGTGTTAGCTCCCTCCTCACCTGTTTCCTGTTGCTCTCAGCTTTTCTCCCCAGATTTCTGAGATTGCCTGGTCCAGTCACACCAGGAAAGGACAAGAGCACACCAGGGAGCAGCGGGTGAGGACGGCAGGGCTGAGGGGAGGGGAGAAGTAAGGGGAAGCCTGTCCCTGAAGCAAAGAGAAAATCGCGCTTGGATCCTGGGCCAGCAGAGGCAAGGCGATGGATGGCAGGCAGCCAGTTGTCAATTAAAGATAAAATCTCTCCTCCAGCAGTGGAGGGCAAGTAGAGGCTCCGGCTCCCCCCAGACAGGAGAAAAAGCCATTTGCAGCCAGCCTCGCCTCAGAGAAGCTTGTCCTGGCAATAAGGGGATGGGATGCACTGCTGACTCCATAATGATATTTCGCAACAGGGCCCATGTCCAAAATGGTGTTTGGGCATTTTGGGGTTTTTTTCTTTTTCTTTTACTTTTTTTGTTGTTGTTGTTGATCAATGTGGAACCGTTTCATGGTCAGGGGCTGAGAACCCAGCAGGCAGCCCAAGGGTACCAATGGGTCCCCCCTTGAGGGGACCCAAGGAGATGCAGTTGGGGTCCCCGGTGACACCCTCAGACCCCTGGAGGGGAAGGGGGAGGGGGCAGTGTGCAGGAGGGCAGAGTTCAGTGAGAGAAGCAGGGGACCGCCCCTCCTCCCCACCTCACAGAAACAGCAGGCAATGCTGTCAAGGAAGCAAAGGCTCTGGCTCCCTCTGGTCCCCAAAGCTGGAGTGGGACCCAAACTAGGGAGCTGGTTAAAAGAGCAGGATGCTATAGTGATGGAGACTGACTCTGGGAGTCTGACTCATGGCTCCTTCACTTCCTGATTATGTGACTTTGGGTAAGTTAATTAATCTGTGTGAACCTCTATTTCCTCATCTGTAAAATGGGAGCAATAATGGTATCTACCTCATGAAGCTACTGGGAGAGTTCAGTGAGGCAGGGCCTGTGACACCCTTAGCACAGCGCCTAGCACAAAACATTGTTTACAAATATTTGGCTGGGGGAGCAACTCTCTCCAATGACAAATGACCGGTTTGGTTTGATTGGCCTCACGTTTCAGATAGGTGCCATGAATTCGCCTCGTTTCGGTGAGCCCCTTATCTCCCTGTGAAGGAATAAGAGTCGGGGTGATAATACCAAACAGCTAACCTTTACTAAGTGCCAGGCAATACATCTAATGCTTCTGAACACCCATTCTGAGCTTGGTGTTATCATCATCCTTGTTTCAGAGGAGAAAACTGTAGCACAACAATGTTAGGTCATTTCTCCAAGGTCACACAGCCAATAATCGGTAAAGCTGGGATTTGAACCCAAGCCATCTGGCTCTTTGAGCCCTACACTTAGCTGCTGTCTAAATGGAATGAGGCTTCTAGGTCATCATACCTAAAGTATAGATTTGTGCTTTTTAATGTTTTTCATTTCCTGAACCTCTATTGATTCTCATAGCAAAGGTATTGTTTTCCCCTTTTATAGGTAAGAAAATCAAGGCTTGAGGAAGTAAGTGATTTGATCATGCCGCCACACGCACACAGAAAAGGGAGATGTCTTCTCAGCCTCGTTAATTAATTAGCAGAAGGTGACACCCAACTGAAGGAGTGATTGGTTCCATCCTTCTGCAACTCACTGAGTTTTATTTTCTGATGCTCAGAAGGGAGGTACTCGCATGGGGACTGGTCTGGAAACCAAGTTACGTGAGGAGCAGCTCAACCTGGAAATGGCTTCTTGGAAATTTGATGGGGATCAAGTTCACGTATTTGAAGGGTATCAGAGGGGAAGTAGGTTTAGCTTATTCTCTGATCCCAGAGAGCAGACCTGGAACCAGCAGGTGGAAACGTTAGGAAGGCAGATTGGCTTCAAATCGAGAAAAACCTGACTTTTTTGTTGTTTTCCTTTTGCCATTACAAAGTTAACACGTGGTACTGAAAGCATCCCAAACCAAATCAACAGGGAAGCCTCATCACCCCCCTCAATCCCACTGTCCTCCCTGGAGGTGACACTGTTAACCTCTGGTGTTGGGCCCTTCCAGGCCTCTTGGAAAAGAGAGGCTTCCTAACAAAACTCCTGAAGGAATGGGCTGTCCTGGAGTGGAGCTCCCATCCTGGAAGTTTAGAGAGACCCCTAACGATCGTGTGCCGGGGGTTCGTGGGAGGAATTTCTGCTCAGCCTGGAAGGTGGAATTAGAAGGCCCCTTCCAGTTCTAAGATGGTCTGACTTACATGGGGCCACACAGCTGTTAATGGTGGGGACAGGTCCAGAACCCAGGTCTTCTGAACAGGACTCAGATAAGCTCCTTTCCCAGCATGATTTTCCTCAAAGTCCTTAACTCTAGGGTAGAAGACTCTCTGTCTGCCTCTTCCCTGGCCCTCTGCACAGGCTGGAGCAGAAACCGGCATCTGTGGTGCATCCATCCAGTCCAGAGTGACTCGGTGTTGACGACACGCACCCAGCGCCCACCCCTAGAGCCCCCAGGGGCTCCAACAGCATCACCACAGTGAGCACCCGCCTTCATCTCCCAGCTGCAGGCCCCTGAGCATGCCCACCCTGGTACCCACACAACAGGGGGCACACGAGTGGGCTGAGTCACCTCAGGCTGTGGTAAGCACACCCATGCCGCAACTGCCTGCATTGTTCCAGAGGCCGGCGAGGGCTGCCAGGGGTTCTGGGACCTGCTCTCTCCTGGGAGACCACAGTTGGCTTTGAACACAACATCATGGGCTGAGAGGGAGCCAGGAGGACAGCTGTGGCTCCAGGTCAGAGGGGCCTTCTGCTGTTGGTGCTGGAAGGCTCTCCTTTCCCCATAGCTCTGTCGGGCCCCCGCCTGCCATACTTACCTACTTCTAGGGCTATTCCATAAAAGTCTCCTGGAACTGCAGGGCTCTGCTTTTTGCTGACTTAGGGTCTCTGCTTCCTAAATCAGCAATACCTGGTGTGGAGAGAGGGGGTGGCTCCTCTCCCTGAGGCTGAGCCAGAAACTGAGGTGTCATCATTAATCCCGCCCTCTCATTCCTTAATTCAGCTCACTCGCTGTGCATTACATCTGTATTAAATGCCTATACTCTGTCCTGGGGAACCAATAATGAACAAGACCAATGGAATCCCTGCCCTCATGAAGCTTACATTCTAATAGGGGAGGTAGGCCAAAAGACCAGTAGATTAAAATATCTAACAATACCCCGCCCCCATTCCAAGCCATTAGCGAGTTCTATCATTCCAAGCTCTGAAATGTGTTTCACACATTCTCCATCTCCCACTCTCTCCCCTCCCAACTCTGAAGGTGGGCTTCATCTCCTCTTTCCTGGTCTCCCTGGGTCCCACTGACATCTACCACCAAGCCTCCGCCCAGCAGACAGAGAGCGCTTCTTAAAACAGAAACCAGATCGTGCTACCCCTGCCTAAAACCGTCAGTGGCTGGATTCCCACTGTATTTCGAATAAAATCCAAACATCTTCAAAGAAGGGCGAGCCCTCAAGGCCCTGCTGTTCATCAGGCCTCTTCCTGCCTCAGCAAATCATTCCTGCCCCTCCCTCTGCCCCCAGGAAACTTTCTCACACGTACCAGCCTCTTCCCCCTTTAGTAGTTTACACACGCTGTTCTCTCATGTGGACCACTGTGCCCCACCTCTCCCGACCCCTTTGATTGGCTGAATTCTCACTCTTTGGGTCCGGCTTTAAGTGTCTCTTCCCTGGTGATTCCCCCCCCCACCCCCCCCCCCCCGCCCCCTGCCCCCTGCCACTACCTCTGTGTTGTTTTCTGTCACTGCAGCTGCTCATTATTTTCACGGTACTTTCTTCCTCGTAACTGTATTTGTCTATTGCCTGCCTTCCTGTAAGTATCTGGGGCCTAGCACCGTGTGAAATAAATGTTTTATGAATGAATGAAGGGGCAGAGGTGGGCCTGGCATGAGTAAGTGCTCAACTGTGTCCTCCCTTATCCCTCCCAAATGTCTCCGGCTGGCACCTCAC